CCTTCCCAGATGCAGTGGCTTGCCGTTATCTCAATTCGGCACGCCGATACTACCTCCGCCACCTCCTCTCCCTGAGCCTGGGCCTGGGGTGCTTGGCGGTGGCGAATGCTTCGAGAGCTACAGTGGACATGCTTGGCAGACGCCACGTGGTCGTCTGGCGACGTCCTCCGCCCTCATCCCCACGGCGCAGGAGGCCGGCTTCCCGGAGGACAGCGTTGGTGAAAACTGCGATGCGGCCGCCAAGTTGGGCTGGGAGATGTTCGCGCCCCCCTCCATCCCAGGGCTGTCTGGGCAACCACAGTGTGGGGTGGCCATCTTCGTGAGACAGACCTTAGGGCTGCGATGGCCCGCGGATGGACCTGGCATATAGGTTCCAGGTAGGATCATAAAAGCCGTTGCCAGCATCCTGTTTTCTCCTCCTTGTTGTTGTGAGTGCGTGCCTTAAGTCGGGCGCTGGGCTCTGTGAGCTCAACCTCGGGATGCGTAAGAAATTCGGTGCCTCTCTCGAACGAGAGCATCGTTTCTTAGTAGGAGCTGACTGGGACCTCGAACCCAGTCTGGTGGACAGCACAGGACTCCCGGGACGCTTGGACGCTGCGCTTTTTGCCCCCAAACAGCGCACTTGTGCCGCGCCGACGGCCGCGACCACCATCGACTTTTTCATGGCCAGCACGGGCGTGGCGAGAGCCGTCGAGAGTATAGACGCGGCGATGAGTTGGGCGGCTAGGCCCCACAGGCTAGTTTTGCTTAAAGTACGAGACACAGCGGTTCACTTGCATCAACTTAGCTATCGCACTCATAAGAAGTTACATGTTGTTCTGCCTGTGGGACCTACGCCGTGCCCTCAAGATTGGACTTTGCGCAGGTGCCTGGCCGAGACTGCTGCAGACGCTGCGGTCACTCTTCCAGTTGGACAGGCTTGGGCTTTCTTCGCGCAAGCTTGGAAAGTGGTTTGCGAATATGTTAGAGCTTGAACTCGAATCGTTCCTTGGCGTGGAGACTGCTGGCAAGGGGCACAGGGGCTCCTTTCTGAAAGCTTGGTGGGTGCCGATATTCGCCAGGCCTAAGAAGGCCACGACGGATAATGTGAGTTCTGATTGGGTTTGGCTCGCTCAGCATTTGAAAGGTGCCACTGGCATGGCCCGTCGACTCCTCGATGCGCTCGAGAGCTCCGATGTGGACCCCAGCGGGTTGTGCGAGCTGCAGCAAGATGCGAGTGCCCAATTTCAACAGCTTCAAGCGCAACCCGTGCCAGGCGAAGGCTCTAGCGCCAGGTTGGGCTGCTTTCGAGCAGGCGCGGGATTTCGTTGGCAGGTGGCTCGGACGCGTGGCTCCAGGGCGCCCAGGAGTGGCGACCTGGATCTTGCCCGCGCGATCCCTAACAAGAGCAATACTGACTCCTGGGATGAATGGCAGGAAGGGCGCTTTGGGGGGGGGGCCAGGGCCATGCACCGCCTTACTAAGTTTAAGGAAATGGAGCCCGACGGTCGTCCAGACCTCGTCTGGGCAGTTCACGAGTGACCCGCGTGATGTTCCCGATGCCGAAGGCGCGGCCTTGGCTCGTTTCTGACGCGCTAGCACCTCCCCTGCGACGGTAGAAGCGTTGGACAGACAGCACCTTCCACGCGCGTCGGCTGTGGAGATTCGTGGCGCCAGCAGCAGTTTCTCTAAGTTGACCTCTCATTCCCTGGGCGGACTGCACCCCCGCTGGCTGTCTTTGGTCTTTGATGCCGCCTTGGCCGTCGGTTTGGGGCTCTTCCCTAAACAGCTGTTCTGGATATTGTTTCCCCTGTTTGAGAGACCGAAGGGGTGCGTCCGATCTTGTTGCGCGTGGGGCCCGTCAGAGTTTGGGCGCGTTTGGAGCGCCCTCACTTGATGGAATTTACCCTAAGTGCCCGCGGCGCTTTCGGGCCTTCGGACCTGGTCGGAGTGCCGAGGGCGCTGCGCGGCGCCGGGCGGTTCGAGCCGAGGCGGCGCAGGCCTTTGGAAAAATTGCGCTTGGAGTGACCTGGGACGGGGCCAAGTATTATGAAAGTTTTGATCTTGATCTTTTTTTAAATAAAAAACAGAGAGCGCTCAGGTTTGGGCTTGCGTGCAATTCTTTGGAGATGACCTAGCATCCTTAGGCTCGGTTGCATGTGCAACGTTGCCCCGTACTTCGCGCTCAGTGGGCCCCCTGCTGGAGACATATTCAACGACCTGTTCGTCCGCGTCTACAGCGTCGACGCGTTCGACCACCTGTGCAGCAGCCGCCCTCTTGCGCCTCTCTCCTCATCTGTTGACGACGACGCCTTGGCGACGGATGGGGTGGGGCGTGGTGGGGGGGGGGGTCGGAGACTGAAGCGCTCGAGCGGATGGTCAAATCATGTGCCAGGATGTTCCTTCTCTTCCGTGATGAGTTGGAAGTTTGGCCTCCAGGCTGACAAGTTAACCACCTTTGGCAGTTCCATCGGTGCTGCTCGACGTTTTGAGGTGGGTTGCTAGGCGACGTGGCCGGGCATGTCGCGAATAGCACGGTTAGTTTTGGAACGGACCTCGCCCCTGGCCAGCGACGGTCGAGTAAGAATGCGTTGTGCAAGCGCAAGGGCAGGCTCAGGTGCATGCACGAACGGCGCAAGGTCTTCCTGAGATGCAGACGCAGTCTCCCAAGACAAAACGGTCGCATTGGCAAGATAAGTTTCGCGGGCGCGCAGCCTGCCGCCACTTTTGGGCCAGCTGTTGTCGGCATGAGCGATCATGAGTTGAAAGAAGCCCGTCGTGTCATGTTGTTGTGCAAGACGCCTCGTCGTAAAGGTTGCTCGCTCACGGCATTGTTTTTGAGGGCGGGCCCTGTCGGGGGGGGGGGGGGGCAGGGGGGCAGGGGTGGCGCCGGCCTTGCGTTGCCAGATGTGGGGGGCCGCGCCCTTCCATGGAGACGTGTGCTGGGGGAATTCTCGCGGGCCCACTCAGCGCGTGCACTTGTCTCTCTTCAGGCTCGGCTGGCGCGCCGCATCAGCTCTCACTTGGGGGGGGGGGGGGCGACTGCGGCCGTGAAATCCACCTCGTCAACAACTCGCCTTCCATGGTTGGACGCTTGCGGATGTTCGCCGCCCGGCGAGGTCGCGGGGGCAAGCTGGCCGCGCTTGCCCCGTCCTTCCGTGGAGGTCGTGTCGTCGTGGGCCCCCTGGAGAAATTCTTGGGCCCCCGCTCCCAAACCTTGACTCAACGTGAATGGCATGTGGCCATCACTTGTTTTTGCGGAGGCGCCTGGACACGTGCTCGAGCGCGATCCTATGGTTACGCTTGCGACGGTCTTTGTCTATTCTGCGGACAGCCCGACTCGGTCAGGCACCGCGCGCGGCAGTGTCCAGCCCTTGCGGCAGTGGAAGCTCGTGCTGACGCAGCAGTTGACAACGATTCGCGTCGGCAGGAAGCAGCTGACAGTGATTGCAGGAGCTTTTGGGAGGAGTCGAAAATTGAACACCCCGAAAACAATGACCCCCCCCCTCCTAGCAGCGGCCCCAACCCGAAATTGTTTAGCCCCCAGCGAGAAGAGTTAGAGTGGGGAGGTCTCGATTTGAGTGGTTGTGGTATCTGCCTGGGCGGATCGCGTGCGCGGCGCTCGATCCGCGAACTCTCCCGGGTTTCCCATCCTTTTTGTTGTTGTTGTTTTTTCCTCCTTCTAGGACCTGGTGAGGAAATGTTGGCCCACGCGGCAGGCTCGGCCTGGGGCTGCCTGCCCCAGACCCCGCAGTCCGCGGAGCACCAGGCCATGGCGTTGACCCCGTTCTTCGTCGAACGCTCGGGCACCCGCTACAGCGATTGCGTGGCAGTTGTGAAATGTTGTAACGCGTCCCCATCAACATCAGGTCGATCGCCGTCATCGTTACGCAGGTATCAGAAGAGGCTCATCACTACACGAACAACGGGATCATGTGGCTGAAGTATGTCATGCGCCTGCACGTCGGGCTCGCAGTTTGATTGGTGCTCTTCCAGCCGCCGGAAAGAGAGTTGCCGTGGGAAGCTGGAACGCAGACATCGTCGCCAAGCATTCCATCTCCCTAAACCCCTCGCCCTCTCCCCAAGTATCGGACGTGCTTAGGCTCTCCCTGGACAAACTGTTGTTTGCGGCCCGTGTGCTGGCCAAAGTTTTGCGTGTTATCCGCTCGAGAAATCCGAGCACCCTCCCCCTGGAGTTCGGGCCCGTTTCCTGCAGTCTGGAGGCTGGCACAGTTGGGAGAAGTTTGAAGGTGACAGGGCTAGGTGCATCAGGTGTTTATAGTTAAGTAGTGATATAGACACCCGCCCCTTGCTTGGATGCCCTGGACCGAGTAAAACTCGGAAGGGAGTTTTCAGTTTTAACATGGGCCACACTTTGGCCCGCACGATCGTCACTCGCCAAGAAACCGATGACGACCGCACTAGGAGTCGTGGACGTAAAACGGGGGTTTATGTTTGCACGACGTGTGGCACATATACCACTCGGCGATGTTTTTTGCTGGGTCAGGAGTGCATGCAAAAACGACTTGTTGGCGATTCGAATGCTTTGAAGCGCATCTGTGCAGGCCTGCACCCACATGCGCGCGAAACCCGTGCGCGAGTCTCGCAGACGTCGAGGCGAGGAGTGGAGTACATGCAGTATGCGATCAGCCTCCCGCCACCGCCCGAGACAGGCCAGCGCACCTTGCAGCTGGATCGACTCGTGCAGACGACTGGAACCCCCTTTCTCCTTGGACGAGTCCAGGAGAGAGAAGCTGCTGCACGTGCCGCAGCTGCCCCCAGGTAGCTGGTAACCCATAGGTTTCGCCCTTCGGGGGGAACAAATCCCCCTCCTCCTCCTCCTCCCCCTCCTCCTCCACCCTCCCTCCTCCATCCTCGCTCTTCCTTCTCATCCCTCCTCCCTGCGTCCCTCCGTCCCTCCCTCCCTTCCTCCCTTCCTTCCCTCCCTCGCTCTTCCCTACCTCCCTCCCTCCTCCCCCCCCTCCCCCCGAGCTCGTCCCCCTCCCTGTTGCCGCCGAAAGGAGGCAGACCGCGAGCTCGCGCCCGAGCTGCTGGCCGAGCTGGCCGGGCGCGTGCGCGAGGCCGCTCGCAGCCCCCACGCGAACTACGTGATACAGAAGGTCGCAGCCGCCGCCTTCCCGCCCTCTCCGTGGTGGAGCTCGTCGCAGATCTCGTCGCAGCTCTCGTCGCTGACAACGCTGACGGCGACGAGTACGACGACGACGACGACGGCGATGCTGATGCTGACGCTGGCGCTGGCGCTGACGACGATGACGACGACGACGACGACGATGACGACGACGACGACGACGACGACGACGATGACGACGACGACGACGACGACCCTTCCTCCCCCCCCTCGTCGTATCAAGGAGAGGCGGCACCACTGCCACCAGGGGGCCACTTCCAGAGAGGGGATGCCTCCCCGAGCCGGGGATGGGGGATGTCTCGAGCGAACGGGGGGGGGCCACACCATTGGGAGGACCCCCCCTAGCCGACACCACCGCCACGAGGGGGGCCACCTCCAGAGAGGGGATGCCTCCCCGAGCCAGGAAAAGGGAATGCCTCGAGCGTGGGGGGGGGGGGGGACAACACCACCAGGAGGACCTTCCCTGGAGCCTCGTGCTGGTGGTGGTGGTGGTGGTGGTGGTGGTGGTGCCGTCGTTGTTCTTACCTCGCCGTCGCAGATCTCGTCGCGATCGTTGTCGCCGTCGTCGTCGTTGTCGTTCTCGTCGTCGTCGTCGTCGTCGTCGCCCCTCCCCGCTTGCCGCTCCCTCCTGCCTCCGCCCGCCGTCCTGGTCTGTTCCACCGACTTTGAGCAGTCGGTTATGATGAGACACTTTCGCCGAACCGTTCGCTTCTGTCTCTCTGCGAGTCCTGCGATGATTGATCGGGCCGGGGGGAAGGGGGGGGTTGGGAAAGGGGGGGTTACGAAATTTGCTGCATGCAGCTGGTTTCGGCCTCACCGAGGGGCCCATTCCTCGATACAGCGCCTCCGGCGCCGGGAGGCGCCGGGAAAATCAGCTACGTGAGCTGATTCTCAAACCCCCCCTTTGCTATCCCCCCCTTTCGCCCGACCCGCATTGAGCACAGCGTCATTCTCATGCCACCGTCCGACGACGACCAGTGGCCGTCCTCTCGAGCTCCGTATGGTGCTGGTCTGCGGGACGGGCGGGACTTGGCGGTGCGTATGCTCTTTGGCTCGTTAGGGCGCCAACACGCGCCCATGGCCCATCAGAGTCTGTTTCGATCCGAGTGATATGATGCGACATCGGTTTCGACCAGCCCGATACGATTCGATTCCGATGTTCCGACGTTCCGATGCGACCTGATACTTGCATGGCGCTGAAGTGCATCTTGGCGCGTCCGGTTCGATTTGGTTCAAGAGGCTTACGCTATTCCGCCGATCCCCAGGCGAAATCTGTAGCCCACACAAATTGCTAGGGCGAGGTAGGGGCTAGAATGTCCTAAATGACGAGGTTCAGCCATTTTGGGCTTGGATCTCCTTGCAAGTCCCACCAGGGTCTCTCCTCCTCAGACTGCATTGGATCTCAGGGAAGGGTGAAAGGTGGAGTGGGACAGCCTGTCAGCTCACACGCTTCAGGATACCTCTTGCCATCGTCTTGGGGCTTCGATAGGCCTCCTGGGCCTTTTCGGGGCTTCCTGAGGCTTCTAGTGGGCCTCTCGGGAGCCTCTTGGGGCCTCTTGCGTGGCTCTCGGGGCCTCTTGGGGAGATTCTTGGCGGTTTGTATGGTTACGCAGCACCCCGCAGATGCGGATACGAGTGAGGGGGCGGTGGAAACGTCGGCAGTCTGCGAGACTCTGGAAAAGCCCGCCGCAGGCGCCAAAGTTTCAAATTATACAAAAAAACCGCCGCAGGCGCCGATGTTTTCGTTAAACCACTGTGGGTAGGTCGCGGGTGGGTCGCAGGTGGGTCGCAAATGGGTCGCGGGGTTGGTGGCGGGTGGGTCGCGGGTTGGGTGGCGGGTGGGTCGCGGGTGGGTCGCGGGTGGGTCGCGGGGTGGGTCGCGGGTGGGTCGCGGGGTGGGTCGCGGGTGGGTCGCGGGGTGGGTGGCGGGTGGGTCGCGGGTGGGTCGCGGGTGGGTCGCGGGTGGGTCGCGGGTTGGGTCGCGGGGTGGGTCGCGGGTTGGGTGGCGGGTGGGTCGCGGGGTGGGTCGCGGGTGGGGTCGCGGGGTGGGTCGCGGGTGGGTCGCGGGGTGGGACGACGACAACAAACAACACGAAACAGCAACAACAGCAACACCAGCACCAACAATAACACCAGCAACACCACCACCAACAACACCACCACCAACAACAACACCACCAACAACAACAACACTACCACCACCAACAACAACAACAACACCAACAATAACACCAACACCAACAGCACACCTACACCAACACCAGCAGCAGCATCAACATCAACCGTACTAACAGTGATCATACGAAGACGACCTGTAGTTACAATGATCATTACAATAGTAACATGCGTAATAATATGACTACTGCGAATAATAATAACTATGACGGTACCAACAGCAATCACAAAACAACATCACAAACCCACAACACCAACATCAATAACAACAATATGTATATACACACATGTAACATCAGCAACACAGCGCAACAAGCATACTCCTCACCACGGATCCTAACTTCAGTCACGCACCCATGGACAATGAATGACCGTCCGGCCCCCTCACTCTGATATTTGGCCTCTGGGCCCCTTCCCCTTCCCCCTCTTGAGCCCCTCTAGAGGCAGCCTGGGGCCTTCTTGGCCTTTTGGGGGGCCTCTTGGGCCGTCGGGGGCCGCTTGATGGGCCGCTTTGGACATCTTGCGGCGTTCTTGGCGATTTTTGGGCCGTCTTCGGGCGATCCTTGGGGCCTCTCGGACCGTCTTGGGTTGTCGAACGCTCGAAAGTCGGCAGATTCCGACTCTGTGCCGATGCGGCGCGGCTCAGTGCACGCTCCGATTCGACCCGCTGTATCGATTCGGTGCTGACCCGCTCCTGCCCATGCGGCCGAGTTGCAGGTCTTCCGCGCAGGTTCCTAGGCCTAGGGCCACGATGGCAGTCAACCGCTCACAGGCGACACGGCCCGCGCGCCTTCGCGCGCGCCTCTGGCCCTGCATGGGTCCATGCAAGGCACTACACATCGGAGGCCTGGAGTTGACACCAGTACCATTGTCGGCGGTGTGCCTCCACCGATGGAAGATGATACCAATCTCGGCGATGGTGGCAAAACTTGGGCTTCCTGGGTGGCCGAAAGGTATCCACCAGCACCAAGATCGATGACCATCATCCCCCTATGGGCGCAAACCCCCTCTTTTGGCGCCGGTGCTTGCTTCCAAGGCTCCAGCACTGGAGATGGGGGCTGGCTCGCCAAGACGCCGCCTTCTGTGCGGCGCTCAAGTTAAAAGGACGCACCGGAAGGCCACCGCCCACCCCCACGGGGGAGGGGGGGAGGCGGGCTGCCCTGAAGCTGACACCTGGCCTGGCGCGCAAGAGCGCCAAGAGTGGTGGTCTCTTCGACGGAGGAGGAGGAGGAGGAGGAGGAGGAGGAGGAGGAGGAGGAGGAGGAGGAGGAGGAGGAGGAGGGAGGAGCAGCAGGAGGAGCAGGAGGAGCAGGAGGAGAGGAGGAGGAGGAGGGGAGGAGGGAGGAGGAGGAGGAGGAGGAGGAGGAGGAGGAGGAGAGGAGGAGGAGGAGGGGGAGGAGGGTAGGAGGAAGTGGAGGAGGAGGTGCAGCGGTGCGCGTGCCGCGAGATCTCGCTGGTTGCCGGGCCTGCCTCCGGGGCAGGGGCGGGCCTGCGGGGCGCCTCGCGGTCGCCGCGGGCGGCAGGCGAGGCTGTGCTTCCCGCGGCACGACCCCCCACGGGGTGTCGGAAGCTGGGCGAGGGCTGCTCCTCCTCCTCCTCCTCCTCCTCCTCCTCCACCTCCTCCTCCTCCTCCTCCTCCTCCTCCTCCTCTCCTGCTCCTCCTCCTCCTCCTCCTCCTCCTCCTTCTCCTCCTCCTCCTCCTCCTCCTCCTCCTCCTCCTCCTCCTCCTCCTCCTCCTCCCCCTCCCATCCTCCCATTATTGCCTGTGGGTTTATTGAAGACCCTGTGGGGTAGTTGATCTCAGGCAATCGCAGACATGGATCAAGGGTCGGAAGCTGGGCGTTGGCTGCTAAAACCGTGGCTGCCAAAACGGCTTTCCCGGAAGGAAACACCTTCCCGGAGTGAGGCGCAGCACGCGAAACAGTCCACGGGCTTCTTCCCGGAAGGGCGAAGACAACTTCCCGGAGGTCGATTTTAGCAGCCACGGATTTAGCAGCCCTCGCCCGGCTTCCGAGGGTGGCCCGAGGGCCGCGGGAGGAGCGCGGTGCGCTTCCGTGGCTTCGAGGGTCGTGCTGCCGGCGTGGCTTCGGAGCGTGGCCGTGCTCCCCCCCGTCAGTTCGGCGGCGAGGGAGGGGGGGAGGTGAGAGGGAGGAGGCCCTCTCAGAAGGCGGCGGCACGTCCCAGAAGCGCCTTCCGAGGAGTTGTCTGCGTCTTCGGGGAAAGCTTACTGGAAGACTTCTCTCAGAAGGCCGGGGGACTTCCAAGCCTCCTGTGAGGGCCTTTCTCCTCCTCGCTCGCCGCCGATCAATGGTCGGAGCTGCGCGAGGAGGTGCCGGCTCCTCACACTCGCCCTGGGGGCGAGGGGTCCGCCAGGGGCCCGGCGGCGGCGACGACGAGCAGCGCGGAGGTTGTGACCGTCGCCCCCGGGACGGTGCGGGAAATCGGCAGTTGCAATGACTAGTCAGAGCTGGTACTCACACTTCGCCAATTTGACGTTCTGAGTCCCTCTCCTTCTCCCTCCATTCTTCCTCGCGCAGACATTTCTCGGCGCTCCGGCGCCACCGCCGGGCTTTCGTAGGGCCGTCCCCAGGGACGACTGACCAGCGCCTCGCCTCGCCTCCATTTCTGGACCCAGGACTCGAGCTGAGCGATATTCTGGCGATCTCGTGGGCCGCTTTCGTTTTGAACTCGCTTCGCAGCCGAGGCAAAGCGAAGACAGAGCGAAGGAAGGTGAAGAACGAAAACAGAGCGAAGGAAGGTGAACGCACAACGAAAACGAGGCGCTGTTTCGCTCGAGCCCTGCCCGACGCCTCCTGGGGCTCGCCCTCGCCGTGACTCTCTTCGCGGTGGTCCCAGCCGTGGAGATCGAGGGCCCCCCCAGGGGGCCCCAAGGCAGGCCAGGAGCGTCGAAGCAGGTCCGCTTCCCGCCGGAGGAGGTGGAGGAGGAGGAGCAGGAGGAGGAGGAGGACTAATAGTAATAATAACGCGAGCAAGAAGAATGATAAGGAGAATCGTGAGAGTAATAGTCATAGCGTATCAAACTGTTAACAATACATGATACTATACTTAATACTACTACTACTACTACTACTGCTGCTGCTGCTGCTGCTACTACTACTACTACTACTACTACTACTACTACTACTACTACTACTACTAGTACTACTACTACTACTACTACTAATAATAATAATAATGATAATAATAATACTATAATAATAGTAATAATAGTACTACTACTAAGCATACCAATACGAATACTACTAAGAGGAATGCTAAGACGAAACATAATAATAGCAATACTACTCAGACATCAATACATAATGCTACGGGGCATCAGCAAAAGCAGACGAATAAGACGAATGCAAATAACAAACATGCGAATAGTACGAATAGGAATGATACAACTATCAATGGTAATAATACTATTGATACCAATACGAGTGCGAATCATACTATGAGCAATAAGCATAGCACTAATAATAATACTAATCAGACACATGCTAGTAATAATCCGACGAAGATTAATACGACGAATAGGACTACGAATAACAATATTATTAATAGTAATGCTAAGACTACTACTAATAACCACACTCTTGATTTTTTAATCGTAGTATTAATAAAAGAAGAAGACGAGGGGAGGAGGAGGAGGAGGAGGAGGAGGAGGAGGAGGAGGAGGGCCGCCCCCGCGCGAGCCGCGCGAAGAGGTCGTGACCGTCGCCTCCCCCGCGCAGATCTCCCTGGTCGCCCGCGAGCTCCTGGGGGCCGGCCCGTCGCTCGCCCGCCACCGCTGCGGCTGCCGCGTTCTCTGCCGCCTGGCCGAGCACAGCGGCCCCAGCGCCGTGGTCGTGCGGCCGCCCCCGGATCCGCAGTGGGCGCCTCACCTCTGCACCGTCACCATGCCTAGGCCATCTTGGGCCCTCCTTCTGCTCCTCCTCCTCCTACTCCTCCTCCTCCTCCTCCTCCTCCCCCTCCCTCTTCCTCCTCCTCCTCCCTCCTCCCCCTCCTCCTCTCCTCCTCCTCCTCCTCCTCCCCTCCTCCTCCTCCTCCTCCTCCTCCTCCTTCTCCTTCTCCTCCTCCGCCTCCTCCTCCCTCCTCCTCCTCCCTCTCTGCTCCTCCTGCTCCTGCTCCTCCTGCTCCTCCTGCTCTCCTGCTGCTTCTCCTCCTCCTCCTCCTCCTCCTCCTCCGCCTCCTCCTCCCTCCCCTCCCCTCCTCCTCCTCCTCCTCCTCCTCCTCCTCCTCCTCCTCTCCTCCTCCTCCTCCCCGTATCCATTTTGGCTCAAGACCTGAGCCCGCATTGGCTTTCACGGATACCGCTAGTCCGCGGCTGTGCCAGGGCGCTTGCGCCCGACATCTGCTTTCGCCTGTACCGAGGGGTTGGGCTCCCTCCCAGAAGAGAAAGACGCGGGCGCCAGCATGGCGCCAGGGCCGCCGCCGTCCGCCCCTGCGGTGCTCCGCGGGCCGCGGCGGCCCACTTGGGCATGTGGGCGGTGCTCAGCCTCGGCGAACTGGGCATCGCGTGTCCGCTGTCAGTGTGGAAATGAAGCGCCGTTACGTATCAAGAAGGCCGCTTGGATAGCTCACCAAGAGATCCTGTCCAAAGGTGATAGTTCAGGTGGGGAAGGGCAAGAAAGCGGCAAGCATAAGGATGAAACGAGTAAGCGTCTGGAGGCCATTGAGAAGTTTCTCCTCGGCAAGGGCGTTCCATCTACAAGTGCGGTGCCTCCGAAGGTCTGGCCAGCGCCAGGCGAAAGGGGTACCGCCGCGGAAGCAAGAACCAAAAGCAGATGGCAACAGCATGGACACGGAAGAAGATGATTCTACCAAACGTACAAGGTTATCGAGCCAGATTGCGCAATATGAGTCCATCCTCAAGGCGCTCCCTGGCGATGAGAGTGACCAGATCAAGAAGGCTACGAAGGACAAATTGGCCGAGCTGCGCGAGCAGCACAGGGCATTGCGGACTCCTACGCAAGCCCACCGCCGTGCGCAGCAAGATCTGGAAAAAAGCTAAGTTACACAGCGCGAAGCTTGAAAGTGAGATCAACGAGAAGGAGCAGCATATTGCAAAGATGCAGGAAGCTTTGGAATCTCGACGTGCGCAGTTACAAGCTAAACGAGCTGAGGTCACTACCCTGGAGGCGGAGTTCAAGCGAACGGCGGCGTTGGTCGGCCATCCTGCCCCAGAGGACGACGCCAGAGCTGCGCCCAATTTCGACTTCGATGTCAAGGCCTCGGACGTCAGCGATGGCGACTTGCAGTCCTTCCTTGGGTCCGAGCTGTGGGCCAAGTTGCAGTCGGTGCTCAAGAGCAAGTTCGCTGCCGCGTCCCCTCCAGCCCCTGCTCGTGATGATGGCGAGCCTCGTGCTGGTGGCGGGGATGAGTCTGGCCCCAGTGAAGCTCCCAAGCGCACTTTCGAGGACCTGTCCGGCGAAGAGAAGCAGGATCTCTTTGAATCTGAAAGTTTCGAGGCGTTCAACACCAAGCTTGGCGAGTTCGCCAAGCGACAGCGAATTGGGTAGCGCGTGCGAGAGGATGTACAGGGTGCTCTCTGGCCTTGATTTAGTTTCATTGTGCGCTGCGAGGAATGCAGAGCCTCTGCTCTCCTCGGAGCCCACCCGACCAAGGTCACAGACGATTTCTGAAATGGTGGATTCTTCAGATGCAGCGCCGCCTGTCGGCACGCATTGTGGCTCGCCAGGTTCCTGCGACTCGCCCGCGCTGAGGGCAACTGAGAGTAGAGGGTGCCGACCATCCACGGATGGCACGCACTGCTCACTCTCTGGACCTCGCGGGTCAACTGCAGGGATCAGTGGCGGGTCTCAGTGCCGACCTTCAGGCTTGGCAGATGGTTTTGTGGCTGTGAGAGTTTCTGGCGCACCCGTTTCGATGACAGGAAAGACGAAGCCTATACCTGCACCACCGTCGCAGAGCACGTACCTGTTCGAATCGTTCAACGCAAATGGTGGTCGCAATACGCTAAAAGATCGAGTGAAACGTTCATGTGCGCATGTACTCTTGGCTCAAGAGATTGGGTATGATGCATCCAACGTCGAGTCCCTGTACACGTGGGCGCACAATCGTGGTTGGAAGTTAATTGCAGTGCCTGGTGTGGCTACGGGAGGTAATCCGTCTGCTGGAGTAGCGGTGTTTGCACGTTCTGAGCTTGGGCTTCGCAAGCCCGAGCATGGGCAACACGTTCTGTATCCACATCGGCTGCAGCACGTGATGGTAGATCTCCCTGGATGGCCAGCTTATCATGTGCTGAATGGATATCTCAAGGACTCCATCGGTCCCACGGGCATCAACTCCACTATCTTGGCCAAGCTCGGGCAATGTTTCTCCGACTGTCGTGGGCCTTGTGTTGCTGGATGTGATTGGAAAATGTCGGTGGCAGAACTGGAGTCGACTGGTTTTCCTCGCACGGCAAAGGTCACCATGGCAGTGCCAACTCAAGTAACATGTCGAGCATGAACGGGATCCACGACTATCGACTACTTCGCCCTAAACGATGTGGCGGCGCGTGGTTTCAGAGGTGTGCAAGCTGAAATGCGATGGGCTAAACGACCGCATGGACCTGTGCTGCTCAGTATCGTGGACAATGGATACAGTATTCGTCATTTCGTGTACACCGTTTCGCCATCATTGCCGTCGGCTCCAGTGATAGGACCTACTGCAGCTCCAGCTGACTGGGGCACTCACCGCGCCCTTGCTGAGGCATGTCTGGCAATGGCGACGGATGAGGCGCAGTCGGTCGAAGCTGCATGGGCTCTTCTATCACGAGTTTGGTCGAAGTTCGCAGTGACGGCAGCGAAGCAGGTGGCGATCAACACTGGCACGGAGTTGAAGGAGCCTGGAGTTTTTGGCCGCAATTTGTCTCCCAGGTGGGTTGATGCTACGCACGAGTTAGATGATGATACGCACGCGAAGTTGATTGCTGAAGGCTGGCAGTGGATGACAAACAGTCTTCAGGCGATATTGCAGCTCTATCGTGGGACCAGTAATCTAGATCAGTGCTCTCTTGAGATTGACAGCTTTCTCACGGTGCAGTATCACGGGCAAGGGCTGCGTGAGCGCCTCGATTTCTCTGTTAAGCAAGCGCAGTGGCACCCCCATGGACACTGACGCGATCTCCCAGTTCTTAGACGAGGTGAATGAGGACTTGGAGGCAGCGGTATCAGGCATGAATAAGGAGTCCGCGCAGCTTTGGAGTGAGTAGTGTGCCGAGTCAGTTTCCCGCGGTGCGCGTGCCCTTCACAGACTAACGAAGGTTAAGGCCATGCCGGAGCCAGCTCAGTTTTCAGGGCCAGTCGTCTCAGGTAGCCCAGTTGCGATCGTCGAGAAGGAAGTGGAGATGTACCAGAAGTTGTGGAAGGCAAGTGGTCAAGCACCTTATGCTTGGGTGCCTGATCGGAGCACTTGCCCAGTGATGGAACCCGAAGCTATTAGATCGGTGGTGAAGACCTTCCCGACGGGAACATCAGCTAGCTTCGATCATTTCCACCCTCGGCATGCGCTCATGTTAGACGACAACGCTTTGGAAGTACTTAGTCTGATTTTTCAATGTTCTGAGGCAATTGGGCTTCTCCCTAAGCAGTTATGTTGGATACAGATGCCGATGTTGGGAAAGCCGTCAGGAGGCAATTGTTTGATTATACTGTATGCTGGAGTGTACCGTATCTGGCAGCGCGCTCGCAGATGGATGGTATCAGGCATCAGTCAGCAGCTTTCTCGTAGATATTGGGGTGCAGCGAAAGGACGTTCGGCACTTGATTGTGCTTGGCTGCAGGCGGCACGAGCTGAGAGTGATCATCGCAGTCACCGTCATCACCTCATGTGGGTCATCGATTGGCCCAACTACTACGAGTCCATACCTTTGGATTTGCTGCGAATGAAGTTTCTGAAAGTAGGAGTGCCTGTATGCTGGCTCAAGCTGGCTTATAACACGTGGAGGCCACCGCGTGTCATTCGCTTGGGCAAGCATCATTCTACACGCCTTTGTTTGCAGTTTGTGGCCTACCTGCGGGCGACGGCTACAACGATTTGGCGATCAAGGTGCACGCTTACGAAGAGTTTGATGAGTACATATCCAGATGCCCTGCGATAGACTTTCTGAACTACATCGATGACACGGCTCTCAGCAATGGTGCCAAATATGAGGAGATTGCAGTGAAGGTCTCTGTGCACGCTATGGTTGAGTTCCGACGTACTTATGATAAGCTCTCTGCTGGTTTCAATTCTGATAAGATCGGCTTGCTGGCGTCCACCCCGAAGCTCGGCCACGCGGTGCTCGACGCGCTAGATTTGCCGCACTCTATACTCAAGCATAGCGTTTCATACCTCGGCGTCGACGAGGCTGCAGGAGCCAGGCGCGGTGCAGTAGGGGTGAGAGCCAAGCGAGCCCGACGTTTTTCTGGGATGAGAGTGAGACTGAGGAAAGTCCAGTTTTACAAGAAACGGTTTAAGGGTCGGACAGATGCCCCATTTTCCAAGATTTGCCGTGCTGGAGTTGCTCCAGCTAGCAGTTTTGGCGCTGAGGTTTCAGGCCTTAGTCAGGCCGAGTGGGGGTCCCACCAGCGAATGATATGTAGTGCTGACGCCCCCTGTCACGGCGGGGTCTCTTTAACTGCGAAGCTGGTGCTTCTTGGGGACAAGAGCTCTCGTCTCGCGGTGGCCCCTGCGATCCATTGGTGTAGGATGATTTGGACAGCCTCCACCCAGCCCGAGCGAGCACTAGTCAGTAAGAGTGAGCTTCTTAGGCTCTGGGACTCGGCCCAGCCTCTGCAGGGTGGTCCCTGGAGCTCCTCTCGCGGCCCTATCCGTCGTGCGGTGCTAGTGCTCCAGAGAGCTGGGTGGGAGGTGCTAGGACCTTTGGGGTGGAATGATCACAGTGGTCTCACGGTGAAGATAGATCAGACCCCTCCTGCTCTGTTAGCTCAGATGCTAGAGATTAGTATTCAGCGCCAGCATGAACTGACTCTAGCAGCTAAATT